CTTGTGGTCTCTATCCCAGCTCTGAATTATAGCTTGAAAGCAGCCACAGGCAACGCATAAATGAATGGGCATAGCTGTGTTCCAATAAAGCTTTATTTACACAAACATGCAGCTGGCCTACCCCTTAAATAGGACAGCAAGTTTACCAAGTCTCAAGAGAGCTAAGACTGGGCGTGGCACAAATACCACTCTTCCTCCTTACAAGCAAATATACGCAGAATTGTAGGGTCCCAAATCAGAATATCTGGGTTCAAATCCCAACTCTGCCACTTCCTAGTTCTTTGATCTTGGGAAGTTACTTCTTATTAAGTGGCAAATATTAGGGAGCATTAATTAGTATCAACCAAGTGGCTCCTTCCCTCACTTTCTGCTGCTTTAATTGCCCTTTTCAGTTCCCTCTGGATCCACCATTCATCCAAACCCTCCCTGGACGCCTGCAAAGCTCTGTGTTGACAGCTAAGGAGGACACGAAGATGCGAGACCCAGACCCTGGCCTCCATCAGACACTGGAAAAGGCCCTGGGTTGGAAGGCTTTCCAGAAAGAATCCTTCGCAGAGTGTAAATGGAGCATGTGGCCTACGCTAGGAATCCTTCACCTAACCAGACAGGGCCGTGAACTTCTCTGATGGTGTCACCTTTGGTCACATGAAACCTGCCAAGCATCGAACACTGCTGATTCAAAGGCCAGAAGCCCTGCAGGTTACTCACTAAATGCAAACTTAGAAAACACACAAGAGCAGAGCAGGTATGGTGCGCTGGGTGGCTAGATCAAAAGCGATGATGGAGTGATGCTCTGTAGACACTCACCTCTTCCGGATGGCTGCTCCCAGCTCACCAACCAAATCACGATGGGGCCCCACATCCACAGAGTTCCAGTTCCAAGACACAGGACTCGGCCAGTTTGTGTAGCCTTCGTGATGCTTTGTGGTCAGGACCACATACCTGTGGACATCAAAACCATATGAGCAAAGGAAGTGGGCAGTGGGCCACAAGCATGAACTTACGCAGCATGTCTCAGGCGTTCAAAATGGTTGGGAACACTTGACTGCAGGAGATGTTGTATGAGTGACTCCCAGGGAGTTGCTGCAGTCACAGCGCCCCTTGGGTGTTGCTCCAGGAACAGAAGGAAACGTCAGGAAGCCACAGTCCTTAGTCCCCAGCCAAGGAGGAGGCCCAGAGGGAAGGAAGAAGTAGCTGAGGGAGAAGATGTGCACTTTAGCTCCCCAACCCTTCTGGGTGTTAATGATTAGCTTTTTTGAAACGCTGTGCCCTAAAGGAGAAGGCAATCTCTACGGGAAATAGCAGATGATAGAGAAGTAAGCTGTTTGTTTTGTTTTACCAAGCCCATATGAATTGCTCTCATTTACAGAGGTGACAAAAGACCAAAAGAGCTGGGGAGAAAAGGCAAGGGTTGAAATAACCAAATCACACAATGTTTCATTTGCCTTTTTTTTTCCTTTTATACCATACACTGTATTTTACTAGAAATACTTTTATAATTTTTTTTCCTTCTTTTGCTTTTATGGCAGAAAAATAGATGATGCCTACACATGATAATTTAATCACTGACCGGTATGGGGAGCTCCAAGACCTTAAGGGCCAGATGGTATTCCAGGCTTTGTGGGCCACATTCCTCTCTGTGGCATATTCTTTTTCCTCTTCTTCTTTTTAAAAAACTTTTACAACCCTTTTAAAATGTAAAAGTCATTGTCACTGCACTGAACTTACAAAAACAGGCTGAGGGGCAATCCCTCTGGCCTCGGTTTGCAGACCCTGGTCTGGAGGAGAGACCTTCACCTCGGAGTCAGGAGATCTGGAGTCTAGGACGTTAGTTCCCTTCCTCCATCTGGGCCAGTCATCTCGTCCCATAAAATATGGGGTCTGGACAAAGGATGTCTCCCACATCTTAATTTTTTTCATTTATAAATTATGGATCTCTAAGGCTCCCAGAAGACAGGGAACACCTCCTCTGTTTATGCAAGATTTATAGTCCCACACATTTAATGGGAAACACTAAATGTCAGTTGCAATTTCTCCAATTTCTCTTTAGTACAAGAGAACTTAAGAGCTGGAAGACGACTGAGGAGACAGGGTAAGGGTGGAAGAGCGCTCTAAGCCGGGAGTGGGAGACCTCTCTGCCTCCATTCTCTCCTCCAACCCACTTCCCTCCCAGCAGCCAAAATGGTCCTTTTAGAAGCTGCAGGTGACCATTCCCTGACTTGACACCTGGCAACATACTGCCCTCAAGGATTGCTCCTTCGGGACTGGCCCCAGCCTTCAACAACCTCCTGGTCCTTGCCTCTCTCCCCTCAACCCAGCACCTCTCTCCCCCCAACCCAGCGCCGGACACTATCAGTTCTCTGAACCATTCACACACAAGCTCCAACCTGAGCACTTTCTACGGATACGGCATTGAGAGGAGCAAATGAATGAGAATCTGTACTTCTACCCAAATTCACTGCAACCGGAACTCCCTTCCTTCCTGTTCCCTCTCAGAGAGACTAAAGCTGAGAGGAACCAATACAATCCCTTTCTATAACCATAGAAGGAAGCTGCAGGGAGGTGAAATGCCTTGTTCAAGTTCACAGCTGAACTAGGAACAGACTCCACACCAGTGGCTTAAAATCCTGGAATCCTGATTGTCTGGTCGACCCAGAAGGGACATTAGCTATGACCTAGCTCAATCGTCTTCCTATACATTTGTGGACGCTGAGGGCTCTCTGGCCCACCACCTCCCCGAAACCTTTCTGTTCTTCTGTTCTCCTTATGATCAGGCGTGCCAGACTCAGCTCTGCATCCTGCAGGAGGCAAACACAACCCCGGAGGTATCACGCCAGATGGACAGCTGTGCCATCCGGGCAAGTCGCCTCACCTCCCCGCGCTCGGGTCCCACCTGCCCAGCCCCCTCCCGCTGCTCGGGGCAGCCAGGGCAGCCAGGGCCGGGGAAGGGGCGCTCGGCCCGCCCCGCCGCGACACTCACTTGGCCCCGGCGGCCTGGAAGAGGTCCGCCCAGCTGTCTGGGTGGAAGAAGCGCGTCGTGAACTGCGGCCCGAAGTCGGCGTAGCTGAAGCCGGGCGGGTAGTTGTCGCTCATGAAGCGCTGGTACTGCGGCCGCCCCTCGCCCTTCCAGTGCCACCAGAACCACTCGCTGCCCCAGGCCGGCACCGAGAACACGCCCCAGTGCAGGAACACCCCGAACTTGGCCTCGTCGAACCAGCCCGGCAGCGGCCGGGAGTCCAGACTCGGCCAGTCCGGGGTGTAGCGGCGCTGAGCCCCGGCGGGCGGCGGAGTGCTGAGCGCCGACCGGGCCGCCAGGAGCGCGGGATGCAGCAGCAGCAGCAACTGCAGCAGCAGGACGCTGACCACTGCCGCCCGCGCCTTCATCTCGGAAGACTTCATCTACGCCTCGGCGCCTCCCTCTTAACGCGCAGGTGCGGGACGCGCGGCCCCGCCCACTCTCACTGATGATTGGCTCGGAAGGAAAAAGGGGCGGGTCAACCCAGGCTGCCGACTCTGGTCCCAAAGCGATGGGCCGTTCCTGCAGCGCCCTCTGGCGCTCAAAGGGAGAACGACGCAAGGGGGCGTAGACAGCACTCCGCTGATGGACGAATGAAAACTTTAGAAGGGACTTCCCTGCAAGGTTAGATCGTGGGGGCGTGGAAGGCCCGCTGAGTGCAGAGAAGCGAGAGTAGTCTTATTTTGCCGTTGGGAGCCATGGGGTACTTTTTGAACTGTAGTAGAGAAGAGCAAGCCTGGAGGCAGGACTACCAGATGGAAGGGCATGTAACAGCCCTGGCCCAAATAATGGGGTAGAGGGATGATGGGAGGAAGCGTTATGAGAGAAGAGGGAGAAAAGTGGGCGCTGAAAGAGGAGGAACAGGTGTAACCATTTTGCCTGTCTAATATTTACTGAACTTGCTTTGAGAAATCTGAGACGATTCCATGAACTTAGTGTCTTTTTGGAAAAACAAGCCCGAGACACAGGGCGCCACAAAGGAACATTTGTAGAGTAGCAAGTTGACAAAATTGAGAGCCCCAGGCCCAAGGAGTACCTGTGTGAACCTTGTCTGACGGGGAGTCACCAGTTCCTCTACACTTCATACATGCCCTGTGTGCTCAAACAGGAGGTGAGGCCACCAGGTGTGGGAAATCTAATGACCCCGTGTGGCACAGCCAGTCCTCACACATCAGTGAGAGGACTGCGGCATGTCAGAGCTGGAAGGGACTTTGGGGATCCTTGACACCATCCCTTTCCCTATGCTTCCCATCTTACAGAGGAGGAAACTGGGACCCAGACAGGGGATGGGAGTCGCCCAAGATCATGCAGCCAGTTTGGGTAAGAGGTGGGACCAGAATGCAGGTCTCCAGATGCGGAATCTATGCCTCTCAACAGGCTGCTTCTCTCTTGCCCTGGGGTGGGGTCAGAGTCTGCTGACAGAACCAAACACTTCCTCCTTCTAGGAGTCATAAGGAAACTTGATGGCTGTTGCTGAATGAACAGCTATTTTCTGTGTTTCTTCCTCTGCAGGATTATGTTGAAACATTGTCCAAAATAGTAAGCACAGATGCCTTCAAAAAGGCCATCTGCACATCTTCTAGTGATCAGAGTGAGTAATGGTCCTTGATGTTACAGAACTCATCTTGAGGGAGATAAAATAGGACACTGTGACATTCATTTGTCCTTATCCTCATAATCAAAATGTAAACCTGCAGGGGCGTTGCCATAGAGTGGACAAAACTCAAGTTGGGAAGCGTATGTTTCGTGCACGGGACACTACCCCATTTGGTAACCTTGGGCAGGACTTGTCCACTGTCTGGGCCGGCTTCCTCATCTAAACAATGAGAGCAGGGCTCAGAGATATCCAGGATCCCTTTTCCCCCTTGCTCTTGGGCTCCATAAACTCTAGTCCTTTACTTAAAGCAGAAATAGAGTGTGATTGTGAAAAGAGTGAGGTAGAAAGTGTGGAAGTGCATTTAATTCAATGCTTTTTAAACTCTAGTTTTATTCATTAAACAAATATTTATTGAGTATCAATTTATGCCAGACACTTTGGCATTTTCTTTGCTAAAATGAGAAAAGATCCCACCAATGCATGAAGGCATGGCCCAACTTTAAGAACCCACAAATTCACCTTTAAAAAGCCATTTCAACTGGGTTGAAGAGTGCCCCCAAAACGTCACATCCACTCGGAACCTGTGAATGTTGCCTTATTTGGAAATAGAGGCTTTATAGATGTAATTTGTTAAATTACGACGAGGTCATACTGAATTAGGGTGTGCCTTAATCCAATGAGTGGTGTCCTTAAAAGAAGACACCAAGAGACAAAGTGGGGGACGGCCATGTGAAATGGAAGCTGAGACTGGAGTTATGTTGCCACAAGCCAAGGAACCAGGAGCTGCCAGAAGTAGGAAGAGGTTCCCCTTGAACCTCTGGATCCTCTGGCCCTGCTGACACCTTGATTTTGGACTTCTAGCCTTCAGAACTGTGAAAGAATACACTTCTGTTGTTTTAAGCCACTCAGTTTATGGAAAATTGTTACAGGAAATTAACACAGGGCAAAAAAGGACATACACTGAGAAGTAATGATGAGTTAAGGTTGTAGCAATCTGACGTTACAGACATCTAATATGTCTCCTAATCAAGCAGAACTTGACTGAACTACACCAAGAGCTTGGTGGTAAAGAGGGCAGGCTTTGGGGTCAAACAGAAACTGGGTTGGAAACCCCAGCTGTGGGTACATATTAGCAGTGTGACCTCAGGCAAGTGGTTTTGTCACTTAGAGGTTTCCTCATCTGTAAAATGATGGTACCAAACCCTCTTCATCAGATTATTGTGAAGACTAAGTGAAATACCTCATTTAAAAGCACTTAGCCCAGTGCCTGGTGCATAATAAAGATTCAGTAAAACCAGCCGGCATTTATGATCAAAACACATAGTAGGTCTACCCTACCTAAACTCGCCTCAATTAATCCCTATCCCATGACCCTGACAATTTCCTTCATTGTGCTACCAGTAATTATCTTCTTTATTTATTTATTGGCTCTCTTCCCACCAGAATGCAGAACGTAAGCCCCATTAGACAGGGGCCGAGTCTCATTTATGGCTGAACATCCAGGATCCAGCACAGAGCCTGGTGCGTATTTGTAAGATGGGTGGATGAGTGAATGAATAGTGGACACCTTGTCTTGTAAGTATTAAATGAAGACATGTTTAATGAAGATCTTTCCTTTTATTCCGTCTGTGGTCCCAAATAATTGCAGAAGAACTCCTCTGCGATTCCCCCTGCCACCAATGTTTCCTCTTGCCTACTGTTTTAGGTCCCTCTGGTAGGAGCCTAGCCTCCCTGACAAGTGAAATATGGGTGTCCTGGAATCTTCAAAAGCGTGGGGCTGTATTCTTGCTGGAGATAATGGACTGTGGGATGTCAGCCCTGTGCCTGGCACGTGGTGAGGAAATTTCCCCCTCCTCTCAGTTGCGCTGTTTATTCTTCGTTATAGGGGTATGAAGGAGACAAAGGGGCTGAATTGAGGGGTGAGTGGGAACAATTGGGGATTTGGAAAATCTTTGTGAATATCTTCCTTTTTCTTGGAGTTGAGTTAGACTGGGATGCTGCCTGCTTCCTATCACCAAATAGGACTTCACAAGGTCAATAAAACTCTCTGAAGATTCTGTGTCTCAAGTGATCCCAGCCTCCTCTGGATTCCCCAGGGACCCAAGAGGTCACAGTGGCTGTGAGTGGCGATTATCAGGGTGCCAAGAAGGGCCATTGCCCTAATAACAAGATGCTCTGAACTGGAGGCTTGTCTGTTACCTCTGAGAGAGACGAATCAACACTCTTGGTCCTCATCATGTCACAGCTCTTGGTCCTCAGTGGGAAAGGGTGACCTGAAGGTGAGGCCTTTCATAGCTCCAGAACCAAGGAGGCCCCAACAGTTAAGCAGGAACAGGGGCTGGCTGTCCATCCCATGTGATACCCTGGAGATATTCTAGGAGAATAATCCAGTCTTCTCAGATTTCCTCCTCGTCCTTCAAGTCTGAGCCTGAAGCCTCCGTCTGGCTCCTATGGTCTCTGGAAGATGCAGGCACCAAGCATCTTGTTGGGAAGGTTGTCCTGACCTGACATGCACTGAGCCTGTCCCAGGCCTTTTGCCTCCTGCCCTCCTTGCCATTCCTCGCCAAGCCTGGCTCTCCAGCAGACTGTGTGCAGATAGGCATGACTAGGCTACCCTCCAGGGGTCAGTGCCCATAGTCATCAGCGAAAAGGGGTAAGTGTCCAGGCTCCGGGGGCTGGTTCAAGCAAGACAAGTAAGATGAGAGGTTCAAGATCCCTCTCTCTTCTCCAGGGAGTGAAATGATTGTGACTTGGCTTGTTTAAAACTGTGCAAGAGGCCTCATCCGCGGTCAGAGCAGGATAGACCTCTGGAATCTGGCCACTGGGTGATTTTCACATCAACCTCTGTCTCAGTGACTGAGGACTTCGGGGCCTCTTCTTTCCCTTCAAGCCCGAGGCCCCTCAGGCGCTTCTTCCAGCGGGCCAGGCGGTGGTGGGCGGAGGAGCGGATCTCCCCACTCCGCAGGGCATAGATGATGGGGTTGACCATGGAGTTGACAAGGCAGAGCATGGAGCAGAAGGCGAAGATCTTCTTGACCTGGTCATTTAGAGTTGTGGTCAGGCTGTAGACCATGAGAGCCAGCGCTGGGAACCAGCATATGACGAGCACAGTCAGCACCACCCCCAGGGTCTTGGCCAACCTCACATCCAGCCTCATCCGGGCTATTCTTGGCACCTGCCTGTCTTGGTCCTGGTGTTCAGCTAATCTGGCTACATGCTGATGGGCCTTCCAGAGGACATGCCCATAGGTGTAGATGATGCCAGAGAAGAGGATGGCAATGAACAGGAGCCAGCCCAGCAGATAGTCATTGGGGATCAGGGGGAAAAGCTCAGAGCAGGGACTGGGACAGCAAGTCCATCCCATGAGGGGCAGGTAGGAGACCAATGCTGAGAGGACCCACATGATGCCCAGGGTCACCAGGGCCCTCCCACGGGTGAGTAGGGCTTTGTACGTAGGTGGGTAGCGCAGACAGAGGTAGCGGTCAATGGCAGTCAGCAGCAGGCTGCCCACAGAGGCTGTGAAGGTCATGGTCACGCTGCCGATCTTCAGCAGGAAGACAGCCTTGGAGTCCACGCCATGGAAGACGTGGAAATTTACAAAGTTGCAGGCAAAGACCACACTGGCCAGGAAGTCAGCCCCAGCCAAGCTGCCAATGAACAGGTATGAGGGCTTCCTGTGGAGCCGGCGGGAGGCCAGGATGAGATAGAGCACAGCCAGGTTCTCCAGGGCGCTTAGCAGGCCCAGAGGGGTGCACAGCACTGCAATAGCTATCTTTTGGGAACTGCTCAGGATCATGTAATCCTTCATGGGGTTGAAATCCAAGCCATCCGTGGAGCCATTGGCTGCCTCCGTCACCCAGCATCTCTCCATGGGATAGGGCCCTCTGCTTCTGCTGAGCTTGCCAAGAAGACCCTGCTGCAGTGCAATGAAAAGAAGAAACGAGTCTGTTTCAATCAGGGCAATAATGACCTCACACAATCACTGATTCATCCATTCAAACCCTGTACCTGTGTGGATGGATCATATGCTGAAATAGCAGTTTATATTTTGTTCCCCTGTATTTTGCCCTTTCTCTATCCTAGTGGGGTTCTCGGTCTGTACTGGTTGCCTTAGGAGAAGTATGTGGGAATTGAAGAAGCAGAAGTGGCCTGCAAGCTCTTCGGCCTTTTGTTTTCGAAAAGACTAATCCCAAGACTTCCCTTTGAAAGTAAGGGAAATCTCCAAGGGTCAAAAACCAAGAGGAAATCAAAGCCACAAAAAAAATGGAATCCAGAGTGATCAGGTAGAGGGGTTTTTTGTGCTGATGTTTTGTTCCCAGTTTTGGTAAGTAAGATGCTAAAGTTTTAACAACAATTTAGGGATGAGACATAAAACTTTGGCTTCACACCAGTAGGGGTGCCAGATAAAATGTAGGAGTCTAGCTAAATTTGAATGTCAGATAATGAATCCTTTTTTAGTATAAGTATTTCCTAAATATTGAGAAACAAACAAACAAACAAACAGGGCACCCAAATAGTGTATGGGGCATTATTAGAAAGCAAACTCAAAATTTCTCTAGAGGGATATACTTTCTCTCCAGTTTGCACAAGATTTCCACAGATAAAGGCCAATGGAATTTGAGCTCACAATGCAAAAATTACAAAATGCATAAGGACATATGAACCAGAGTTAGCAGAAATGTCAGACAGTAGAATTCGACTTCCAAGAACTTCACATAATACTTGGGTGTATATTATAAAATATAGCTAATATTATTAAACAAAAAGGAATCAAAAATGTGAGTACATAATGAGAGACTAGGCAGATTGGAAAAAGAATCAAGTAAAATTTCTAGAAGTGGAAAATAGCCATTGAAAAAAGAAACCCTTAAGAGTAGATTAAAGAGCAGAATAGGCTAGTTGAAAAGCCTAGGGGTCTAGGGGCTGGCCTGGTGGCGCAACAGTTAAGTTCGCAGGTTCCGCTTCGATGGCCCAGGGTTCGCTGGTTCGGATCCCAGGTGTGGACATGGCACCGCTTGGCAAGCCATGCGGTGGCAGGCGTCCCACATAGAAAGTAGAGGAAAATGGGCATGGATGTTAGCTCAGGGCCAGTCTTCCTCAGCAAAAAGAGGAGGATTGGTGGCAGATGTTAGCTCAGGGCTAATCTTCCTCAATAAATAAATAAATAAATAAAAACATAGCTGCTGAGAAAAAAAAAATCAATCTAAAAAAAGAAAAGCAGTGATCTAGAAGGTAGATCTAAAGAAATTTCTCAAAATGCAGCACAAGGAGATAAAGAGATGGGAAATATGAAAGACAGGTTAAGAGACATAAAGGATTGAATGACAAAGTTTAAAATACATCTAATTGGAGTTTCAGAAAAAAGAGAATTGGTAGTGGGCATTGGGGAAATGATATTCAAAGAGACGATAGTGGAGAATTGATAATTCTCCTGGACTTGACTCCTCAGATTCAGAAGTTGCAGTGACTTCCAAGCAGAATTTTTAAAACAAACTAATTCCACATCTACATATATCGTAATAAAACTCCAGAATACTGAAGACAGAGAAAAAATTAAAAGAAATCAGACAGAAAAGACACAATATCTGCAAAGGAATCATAGTTAAATTTAAAAGCAGATTTCCCAATAGCAACAATAGTAGCCAGGAGACAGAGGGGAAAAAAGCAATTCTATCGCTCAAAGTGAAGAAAAACAAATAGAATTGTCCACTAACAGACCTTCACTGAAGGGACATCTGGAGGGTACAGCATCAGAAGAAGGAAATTCTACACAAAGGGAAGGACAGAAAGGCGAGAAGGAATTGTGAACAAATAGGTTAATAAATGGGGGCCGGCCGGCCCTGTGGCCGGGTGGTTAAGTTCGTGTACTCTCCTTCGGCGGCCCAGGGTTTCGTTGGTTCGAATCCTGGGCGCGGACATGGCACCGCTCATGGGGCCACGCTGAGGCGGCGTCCCACATGCCACAACTAGAAGGACCCACAACTAAAAATACACAACTCTGTACTGGGGGGCTTGGGAAGAAAAAGGAAAACTAAAATCTTTAAAAAAAATAATGTTAGTAAATGTATGAATAAATAAAAACAGATGTCTACATAAAGCAATAACTAATAACGATAATGACTAATCTGGAAGGTATAAAAAGAAAGTGGAAGTTAAATTGTGAATGACAGTAACACAAGAGAGAGATGAATTGAGTTGAAGCTTTATTTAGGAAGTGAGTGAAGGCATTGATCTAATTTAGGCTTTTAAAAATCAGGCATCATCTCTTACCTGGTTTACTGCAATAGCTTCCTAAATGGACTTCCTGCTTTAAATCACACCCAGCTTTAGGCTGATTTCAACACAACAGCCAGGGTGACCCTTTTAAAATATGTCAGATCATGCCACTCCTCTGTTCCAAACCACAGGTAATGCCCTTTCCATTCAGGGTAAAGCCAAAGTACTTACAAGGGCCTAGAAGCCAAATGTATTCTGGTCCCGTTAACTCTCTGACCTCCCTACTACCATGCTCCCCTTGGTCAACCAGCTCTAGCTTAGCCACACTGGCTTCCCGATGGGTTCTCCCTCCTGCTGTGGGGCCTTTGCACTGGCTGTTCTCTCTGCCTGAACACTCTTTCCCTAGAAATATGCTCAGCTCAGTCTCTCACCTTCTTCCTGTCTTGGCTCAAATTCTATCCTTTCAATGACATCTCCCCTTCCACCCTATTTAATACTGTAATGCACCCCTCTCTCCAGCTCTTCTGGTCCCCCTCACCCTGCTCTATTTTTTATTTTTTCCATATCACATATCACCTTCTACCATATAATTACCCTACATAACTTACCTATTTTATGTTTTATTGTTTATTGTCTGTTTGTCCCACTAGAGTTTAAACTCCACGAGGTCCAGGAACTGACTATTTTGTTCACTGATATAAAGGCTTAGAATAGTATTGGGTACATAATAGGTACTCAATAAATATTTGTGGAATTGAAGTGAAATTGAATAGTGAGTTATTTTAACATTCTTTTCTCAGAAATCAATAGATTAAGCAGACAAAATACTAATAAATAGGATGTATAGGATTTGAGCATGCAATTGACAAGCTTAATCTAACAGTCATTGTGGAACTCAGCACTCAATAATTGGAGAATATCCATTATTTTCAAGCAAATGTGGACGTTTATCAAAATTGGCTAAGTCTTGGGTGAAAAACAAATTCAACAAATTTAAAATAATCTGTTAACATACAAACCATATCCTCTAACCACAGTGAAATTTGTTTAGAAGTCAAGAACTTAAAAAAGATGACTAGCTGGGGCCGGCCCCGTGGCCGAGTGGTTAAGTTCACGCGCTCCCCTGGGCAGCCTGAGGTTTCACCAGTTTGGATCCTGGGCGCGGACCTAGCACCACTCATCAAGCCATGCTGAGGCAGCGTTCCCACATAGCAGAACCAGAAGGACCTACGACTAGAATATACAGCTATGTACTGGGGGGCTTTGCAGAGAACAAGAAGAAAAGAAAAAGAAAAATATGAGACATGAAAGAGAAATGGTCAGTAATCCTTTGGAAAGATATTTAACTTCAACAGCATCCACAAAAATGCAAGTTTCACTCCCATCAGATTGGCAAAAAAATGCACGAGTGTTGGAGAAGGCTTGGAGCCTCGAGAACTTTCAGCGTCGTGACAAACTCTCTGGAGAGCAGTTTGGCAAAATCTAGTGGAGCTGAAGATGTGCCACTGCCCTTGGACACACCAATTCCACTCCTGGGAATGTGCTCCTGAGGAACACTTACACATGCACATGAGGGGACAGGTGCAAGGATGTTCATTTCAGCATTTTTGAAACGGCAAAAAAAAAAAATCCATCAACTGGAAAATGGATAAATAAATTATAGTACATCCATACGAAGAAATAACGAAGCAGTAAAAATAAACTACAAGTACATGTGTCAACAAGAATAAATCTTAAAAACACAATGTTGAGCCCAAAACCTAATCCCTTAAGAGAATTCAGAGGATTTAAGAAGCAGCTAGGGGCCCGCCCTGTGGCAGAGCGGTTAAGTGCGCACGCGTTCTGCTTCGGCGGCCGAGGGTTCACGGGTTCGGATCCCGGGTGTGGACATGGCACCGCTTGGCAAACCATGCTGTGGTAGGCGTCCCACATATAAAGTAGAGGAAGACAGGCATGGATGTTAGCTCAGGGCCAGTCTTCCTAAGCAAAAAGAAGAGGATTGGCAGCAGATGTTAGCTCAAGGCTAATCTTCCTCAAAAAAATAGAAATGAAAATAAATAAATGAATAAATAAATAAAATTAAATTAAATTAAAAATAAAGAAGCAGCTAAAGAGAAGAGAACTTGCAGGCAGGCGCATCTTGAGAAGCAGGAGGCAGGACAGGATTTTCCCGTGGACCAGACTAAAAAGCAGGGCCTTGCCAACGGCAAAAGGAAAATGTATGTCTCCATTTAGACATTTCCATGTGTTCCTTAGTGTCTATTATTTTTTTTTAAACATTTAACATTAAAACACTAAAGTAGTTACTATTGAAAAATTGAAAAGCAGCTTTTATTAAAATTCACAACATTAAAATATTTTATAAAATTTAAATATTTTATTTACATTCAAAAGGGAATTTACTATAATTTCTTGGCACCCGTTTAAATTTTGCGCCCACAGTGAGTGCCTCATTCTCCTCACCCTACTTCTGGTCCTGCTAGAGATTCTCAGGGAGTGCGAGTTGGGGAAAGAGAGGTCTGTGGCTTCCCCAGCAGGGGCATCTTGGTGTGGCTGGAGAAGAAGCCTTCACTGCATTTTTCAAATGTCACCTCACAGCGACCCCCCTTTTTAGATAATTCCTGTTATGAGGATTAAGTGCTTAATATGTAAAATACATTTAGAAGAGAGCTTGACACTGGAGGTAGCTGTTCTTAATTT